CTGCAACTAAAAACTGTTATTACAGTTTAATCTGTCAATTATAATTTTATTTTTAGTATTCATGTCTAGAAAATATCAGAAATGATTGAAAAATAGAATATTCCCAAGCTGAACGTCACGTCTTCAAAATGTTTCTATAGTTCAAACAATACTCTAAAACATGAATAACCAGTTATTCTCACATTAATGGAGCTGAAACCAGAAAATGTCTGCCATGTTTTGTGTTTTTTGTTGTTGCATGGTTGGTGAGAGCTGACCCTTAGCTCAACACTATGACGACTTGTCATCAGCAAACTGAAAATGACTGCTGTCCCGCAAAGTCAAATCCCAAATGGAGGTTTTATGTTGTCTGGGTGTAATGTGACATAATTTCACACACTGTTACCATGGCAACCGCTTACAAGGCTTCTATACAAGAGGCTGCCGTTTTAAGCTGCATCACAGACAAAAGTACCTCATAAAGAAATCTATCCCCAAAATGCAAATGCAACCTCAATGCATTAACCAACAGAGTGCTATCAAACATAAGTTACTCTTTAAGTGCTTAGAAATTCCTAGTTGAAAAAGCAAACAATCTAATGTATTTCTTCTCTGTCATCTTTAGGTTTAGAAATGTTATTTGTTACATATTTTATGTGACATGTCTGATTCACAATCTATTGATGAGGTCTCTCCTGTCCTGAGTTGACATCAAGAGATTCCAAGATAAAAATAGCCGACCTCCTGTACTGTATTTCCCACACTGTGGGGACATCCAATGGGTAAAACAACCCTAAGAATAAAATTAACAAAATATACGATACATTTCTATTTTATACTTTTATACTTCTCTGCAGTACCTTTGCCACCTCTATCTCTCTCACACACACTTCATGTACATTCACACACTTTCTCCAAATAGCACCCACCCACACACACACCTCAGTAGTAAACAGACAGAAAGTGATGGGAGACTTTTAGTCATCATGGTTTGAGCAATTTCACTAACTCAAACCGACAGTCTCTCTTTAACCTACATGACAATGTAATATTCTTAACATGGACATGAAATAAGTGGTCTAGTGGTCTGGATTTGTAAGGTGTTTTTATAGTCCTGACGCGTTACCAATGTGGCATGTTACAGAGTTTAACAAATGGATATCAAGCTGACTGTGCGTCAGTGTGCAGATAAATGGCCAGCAGCCGGCACAATAGGACAACTCTGGCTGTTAATCACGGCCGCTACAGAAAACAGATGGCAGTTATTTCTGAATGTGCTAACGTAAGGGAATGTTCCCGTGGCTTTCGGCCCATTACAAGTCGTCCACACAGTTAGGACGCAAAGACAGATGACAGTCATGTTTGACATCTCAATGAGACCTAACAGGATGAGGTAGAGTTTGGATGAGAACAACGAGATGACTGTGACGCAGAGGGAGGGCACCAGTGAAAGACGTTTAATAGCTGTGTGTAAACAGGCCTTAAATCTAGCGTGTAATGGGTGAGGTTACCAGCTAAACTGAACAACAGATTACTTGTTGCTTCTATTCAGGCACCAGGGGAAAACTGGTCAGTGAGGTCAGTACAATGTCCTCTTCACGACACCAGCTATTCTCTCCAAGACTGAAGGAGACTGTTTAACATTACAGGAGGTATCTGTTTACTGATTGTGGTGAACTTTCAGTTTTTAAGATTGAAAGTTTGCACAAAATGGTCTAATATATTTTATCTCTTTCTGATTCCTACCCATGTTTTTTTTTGGGCCCACTGTAAGACTTGAATCATCAGCATAATGAGGAAACCTCTAATCTTAAATACAGTAGTGTGACTGATTAAACCATACAGGAGCCTTCCTTGCTACTGTTGACTGTTGATTTACAAACAACATTGAGCGACACATGCAGAATTGAAAACATCACTCTCTTATTATTCGCACTCTAGAGAAATTTGATCAGTTTCAATGTAGTAGGATGAGGAAGACTAAGTGGATTGGCCTTCCAAGGTCTGGACAGTTAGAAAATGACAACGTTTGTGATTCTGCTGTATGTTGTGTCAGAGAATTAAGTGAAGCCGTTATTTGAAGTAGTTTGACCTCATCTGGCCTTTACCCTCTCTGCCAAGTTGACGTTATCTAGTCCTTAAACCAATAGCTAACGTTTACCATGACAATTAGAGACAATTATGTACAAAGTATTATCTGTAGTTTCAATTCCTCAAACTGACATGGGTCTAAGTTCATTTTCCTCAGTTTGTGAGAGTTGATTTTCTGGCAAATAAACAAAAGACAACAGCTGGACTTTCACTCTGTCAGACAGGCTGCTGTGAAAGATGCTTTGTCTCTGCAGGTCACGCTGACCAAGGCCTGGCTCTGTGGGAGTAACGGTATGGCCAGTTTGAGACTGGACCAAAAAGCACTGCAGCCAAGGAACTCGGGAATGGTGAATTTAGTCGACATTCACAATGTTTCTAAATGTTATAATCCGTAAGGTCCCCTTCCCCTCAGAAATCATCTACAGTTGGATGTTTGAGCTTCACACGATGTTTGTGCAGTTTGACACTAGAAAGATGTTTTTTACATTCCTCAGCTGAAAATGGTGAAAAGTTTCTCTGTGCTCACTGAAAATCAGATTTTACAGGGGGCCTAAGAACAATTTGTGACATCACAAATGGTGTGATGTAGAAGCTTGAAGCCACCAGTGCACATACACTGAGAATGGACTGTACAGTGAAGTAGGAGACATCTTGTGTCCAGCAAAAAAAAGCAGAAAACTGAGTTTGTTTGGTTGTGAGACAATACTGGTAAACCTTTGGGAATAGAGGATCTAAAGTATCCAGTCCCATTAATCAATGACTGTACTATTCCTAAAACTTCATCAATCAAGTACCCACTCACCGTGAACCACTAGTGACTCAGTCTGCATTTTCATATCTATAAAATGATCAACCAGATGGTAGTATGTTGGAGGTCAGTGTCTTACCATGTGGCTCTGCTGAGACTGGGTGGCGCCATACATAGTGATGCCATTGGTTGGTGGTGCCAGCTGTGGTGTGTCTGATTGGATAAAGCCCCGTCTGTCAATGAGACTAAACAGAGAGAAACAAACAACGGAGAAAGGTGTTAATTCACAAATATTACATAGCAAATGGTGTTACCCATTAAGAGATTAAATACAGTAGAGCAGTCTCAACAAATAGATTCTTTTGGAGCCCTGAAATCCCGAAAACACAGATGTACAAATGAAACAGTGCTGTATCATACAGCCAGGTTGAGTCAATGGGAGTTGGAAGGATTAGCAGAGTGCAAATGACTGTGTTAGTGGTCCCACACTGTTCACAGAAACAATAGTGTGCAGGTGCAAATGTGTGCTGCATTATTGTGTACAAGCCTACAAACATTTGAGTCTTAACACTGAGATCTTCCACTCACACAAACACATAAAATCCCAACTTGGTAATAAATCACTGAGGTCCTGCAGTGGAGCACTGGAGTGAATCATTGTTTCTGTCCTAATGTTAATGCTGCAGAACTCAGCTGGTTAGACAACAACCTGCTGAACTCTCGGTATACACATAGACATGTGTGTGGTCATGAGCCAGATCTATGTGATAATGGCTATTTATCAGCCAGATAGAGGTTGATCTGACAAAGCAATCTCTAGCGTGCGCACACACACATCTGAGGTGTTAGACAGCATAAACAGGGTAATCATTTAACAGAGTGTGTGCTGACAGCGTGTTCCTGTGGGACTGAGCTGGATTCAGGTGGAAACGGTTTAGAAGAATCACAGAGACAAACTCTAGGAACCAACAGCAGTGCTGGTAATGAATACAGGAACGTCTGCAAATGCAGTTAGGAGGAAACAAGCATAAAAATATTTATGCATGATTTATTAGAAAATGTGAGTCAAGGTCTCAGCAGGGAATGAAGTGCGAGAGGTCTGTATGTGTGAGAGGCAGCGTTGCTTACATAGTTTGAGGTGAAACATTCCTTTCTTACTGGTAGAGCCAGCTGTGCAATGCCTGTGGCTGGCCACAAACACACACACGCACACAAACACACAAACCCAGATGGCAGCCACCTGGGCACTGAGGACTCTCCTTTGCCACCCACAGGTATCATTATTGGTGACTTAGGGCTTATAATGGCCAGAGCACAGTATGGCGAGAGAGAGCGAATGTTCCCAGAAGCCTCCATCGTTGCTCGTCTTATACTTCGCGGGAGAGTATGTGTCTCTTTAGATGTATTAAGTAAGACGCGAAGGTACTGTATGTATTTGCTAAACTAGAGACTGTGATTCTCTAACGCCTTGATTCCATCATATCCGCGACACGAAGGGCTGAAATCTGGTGGAATCACACGCATTATCTAGAATGGCTGCAATCAGCTCTGGTGGACACGTTTGTTCTCAACTGTTAAATGGGTGCAAAGCAAAAGACAAAGTTAAAGGCTGCATGTTCCAAAGGCTAAGAGATGTGTGTGACGTCTTGACAGCGTCACTGAGTACTGTATCTTCAGAGTGGGTACAGTGGCCAGTAAAGATAAGAGCAATAGTCAGTATCTCTGATCCAGTGAGTAAGCACGAACACATTTCTAACCACGATGAAAGAAAAAAGGGCTGTTTAAGTCAAAGGAAAAAACTGTTTCACAGAGATCAGTAATGAGAGCTGTTGGTACTGAATAGTGAGAATAGTTAAGCTGGGAGGGAATGTGCAATGTGTACTGACCCTTACAGGCACATGGACATGAGAATGTAGCTGTGACAATTGACCTGTATTTTTATTAAATCATGTGAACTGCAAAAGTGTGAAAAAAAAAAAAAAAAATTTGATCTTGGATTTGGTTAAAATGGGCTTGGAATTCTTTGTACTCTTGCAGCATCTTAGTTGCTATGTGTAGAGAAAAGGCTGCAGGCAGACTTATTTCAAAGCAGCTTCTCAAATCAAAAGGAGTCTTGACGAACAGTTTTATTTCAGCCTTTGGACACAACAGAATATTACAATGAGGGAAAAAAAACAGGTGTGACCTATTACTGTGAAGGTGAAAAATTACAGAATGGGTTTTCTCAGAGCAAGGAATGATAGGGCTTATATGTCATCATCTGGGCACCTGGAAATATGTAAATCATCTCATAAATACTATCATGCACATTCACGTGTCACACCTTGGTGGCAGGGGTCCACACAGGGCTGCACAGCAGTTGGTGAATATATTGCCATGGCTGTAGGGATTATAGTTGTCCTTCCCTCTTTTAGAAGACCAAGACCCTTTTATCTGGAGAAGATCACAAAACATAAGTCACAGTTTTAGAGGGACAGATTATTATATCTCCAGTCTCACTGGAATCAAGACTCTAAGACTATAACAGAGATTATGTTTGTGTATTTTTTTAATTTGTTACACAAGATCTGAGGTTCTAAAGTTATGTTATTGTGGCTTTAAAAAATAATTTATACTGAACCGTAAACTAAGAAATTTTAATAGACAGCACATGTAACGTACTGATGTCTATTTCATAGTTGTTCATACTCACATCTTCATTGGTGGTCTGGTTGGAGCTGATTAGGTAGGTATGAAAGCCTGAGAGGCCCACTATGGACCAGACAGAGAAGAAACACACCACCACCTCCAGCACAGTGACACAATTAAGTCAAGGAATAATCTGCCACAGTTTCCATTTAATCCATCCTTACATTCAGTGAAACAGACAACACTGACAAAGACACACACATCAAAAACCCGTACGAAGCCAGCACGGATAAAAAAATAGTATAAGTTCTAACAGCTAGCATATTGACCTACAGCCTCAGGGCTGTCCCCCTCTTGCCAATAGTCCCTAGTTACCAGTTCATTTGGCTGGGACTGCAGAACACTGCTCATTTTCGCTGCTCTACATAAAGCACAAAAAGACACAATGTCCAAGAGGAATCCTTCTGCCTTTATGAAAATGAACTACAATGACCCTTAATTACATCTTAGGATAAAGTTTCTAAAAGAGTATCATATGTATAAAATAAGACCTACAAAATACCCAAACACTACAGGTTCACTATGTAGTACAGATAGATCCCGATGGGCATATTGAAAAAAAATGAATTACTTGGTAGGTCAGTATAATAATCTAATATAATAATGTAAACTAAATGCCCTCTTTTTTTCCTCGTTCCCCAATCTCTTCCTCCTTAGCAAGGACGAAATATGTCATCATTCACCTAGTACAAAGAACTGCTACAATACTATCGACGGCAATTCCCCTTTAATAAAGTCCTGTAGGACACAGGTCGTTATCAGCTTGGGTTGGCACACATTTCTCTGCCAGAGAAACAGTTATCTCACTCAGCCATAGAGAGAAAGGCAGAGAGGGAGAGACATCATAGCCCTGTGCTCTCAACTTCATTAGTGGCTTAGAAACAGTTGGGTATCATTTAGATTTGATCAATTCTGATTTTCCAAACTTGATCATAGATTCTGGTTATTATCAGAGAAGCGGAAAAAAATGTTTCACACTACAAAACACCCCCACATCTGTACTGTCTCATCACTCATTGTGTCATGTGTGTAAAATCTGGAATCGCCCAATTCATTCTTAAATTATGGCTAAAAACCCTAATGACCTTTGAGTCAAAAAGGTTTTAAGAGGTTTAAGAGAGCATTTGTGCCAAATTTGAAGAAATTCTCTCGAGGCATTCCTGTGATATTGTGTTCACAGGAATGGGGTGGACACATGGACAACCCAAAAACATAATGCAGAGTACACTGAAAGCAAACAGCAGGTTTAGGCTGTCATCAATATTTAAAAAGGTCAAATAAATGTCACTCTCTACACAAAAACAGTGTGTTGAAGAGGTGATAATAAATTTAAATTTTAACGTTAGGTGACTGCTTCCTACGTTTCCTGCCTCGATTTACAGCTAAAACCTAAGGTCAAATGGTGTGAAACCAAACTTTAATGCGGTGCCAAAATAAAACATTTGACATTTGCTCAGATTTACTGAAGTCCACATGATTATTACTGATGTCGAGACAACAAGCTGACTTAAAGGATATGTGGAAGCCTAAGACATCTTGCACACACTTGGCATCTATAACACAGATAGACACAGCAGCGCTCATATAAAATCTCACTCACACAACATCTCTGTAGAGGGAGTGGAGCCAAGTTAGAGCCAGATAAAATCAAAGACGGACTCAATCAAACAACAGAGACAGACTGACGAGCTGCTTCGCGTGCCATGTTACTCCAGTGGAACAGGACTAATCAGACGCGCACCAGTTATGCAAGTGCTGTAACTGGCAAGAGCAATGGATGAAAAGGCATTCTTGCGAATGAATTCTGATCAACAGAATGACCCGTATGTAATACAGCTAAATCTAGGGAAAGCTGGGTGAGTAAAAAACTTTGGACAGAGAGAAGCAACAATCTGACAAAACACTCAACACACATTTGACAGTAAATGCCCAAAATCTGTTTTCAGTGAAAGGATATCTGGCAGGACTATCTTTAAGTGCGTTGAGGAACCCGTTTTGATGGGAGCCTGTGAACAGAGAAAGACAGTCTCCATTAGACCACCAACATTAAACAACACTTAATGAATATGGGAATTTGTATCAGATATTAGGTACTACGTCCTGGCGCCATAACTTGCTACAAGCGCTTTCTTGTTTAAAGTCTGTCAACAAGATGAACTGGGCTAGGCAGAGGGTGCCCACTTGAATTTGCATTTCAATTTAGTTCCCAAGTGTGAAGAGTAGGATCACTGAGCCAGACGAAAGACCAAAAATTAAGTGTTGGCCAGCTATATGTGGCTGCAGGAGAGATCTCTTTGTCTTTCTACTATGCTTTTAATTGCAACTGTGCAAAATCCAACAAAGAGAGTGCAGATACATGTTCATTTTGAATTAGTCTTTACAGAATATATAAAATATTGTGATTAAAGATGAGATTTCAGCACCCGAAGCACTGAAGGACTGCGACTACTACATGTTTTACCACTTTTGTGTTTTTTTATGTATTCATAATCAGAGAAGTCAAACTGCTATGAAGCCTTTTTGCCAAATGTGAAAGCATTTAGTCTCAACACAGCATGGTTACAATCAAAGAAACAAGAACAAGCTCAAAAGGCTGTTAATCAGCACTACAATTTTCTAGCAGTTAATCTTGGCCCATATTTTTTCCTAGTGAAACATTGATCCACTGACTGTCATTTATACACACACACACACACACACCACACAAACACACACACACACGACACACCCAGACACCCACACCACACCAGCACACACACAACACACACACACACACACCACACACACACACACACCACACACACACACACAGGGTGACCAACAGTCCACTGCCTGCTCCCAGCTGGAAAGATGGTAACAAGCCAGAATGCTGCAGCTTTTCACAACGCCCCCTTACAACCTGCTGGCTCGATACACACCAAGAACACAGCCAGGAGGAGTGTGTGTGTGTGTGTACCATGCCTGAGCACAACGTCCTTCTTTCCCTTCCCCTTCAGCTTACTTACGTAAAATGTGTGTGTGGATGACGGAGGCGGAAGATTGAAGATGGTGAGGAAGGAGAGCGAGAGGATGAACATGTAGAAGAAACGGTAGTTCCTCCTTCCCACACAGTTCCCCACCCAGGGACAGTGATGGTCAAAACGCTCTGCGTGGACACAGAGAGAGAGATAGAGGGAGAGTAAGAAAAGATAATTTAGGATACAACGACACACACCTACAAGTCTTTTCTTTTATCACACCACACTGCCGCCACAGTGATATTTCTCCTGTCTGAAGTCTCCGTCATGCTCATGTGCTCCTGTAAAATCCCCACTAGAAACTGGGTTATATACTCATGGCTTAGAAATCAGGTTTCTCCAGAAGATGTCTATGTTTTCTTAATGCAAATTTAGTCGGGTTTTAAAAAAAGATCAGGTTTCTACAGTGCATGTAAGAACACACTACCAGTCTGGAGCTGTGGGAAATTAGGGGAAAGGTGAAGCGTCCCTCTGGGTCTTGGTATAATAACATACACATTTTTCACATAGTGCAAACCGGCTATTTATATGAACTAGCTAATAAAACAGGCTGGCCAACATGACTGTGCATGACTGAAAAACTCCCCCTGTCACCGTGGGACTGAGAGAGTGAAGGAAAGCACTTTTCTGGGTCAACAGATAAAGTGCCTTCAGTAAGACCTCAATTTAAGAATATCTAAAGACGTTTGAGGAATTGTAAATGAAGACAAAAAAAGAGGTAGTAAAATGTTGCAGTGTTCCTTCCATAGAGATCATGCAGCTAAGAACGACTGGGCTTTTCCAATATGTTAACACAGACAGCCACCTTGGTACAGTGTGCACAACTGAACAAAGTGCCTCTTTCATCTGAATATATGTGTTGTTTAAGTGAATAAAATGTCCATAATTCAGTCTGCAATGCATTCAAAACACACAATATGTATCTGAATGCAGCCGTATTCAACTACTTGATCATTTTAATGTGAAAAAGAAACTGTTCCAACATCCATACATACATCCATACATACATATAGAGTGCTTATTGTAAGTGTGGTTATTTAATCAACTCCACAGTCCTATGTCCGAGTGTGGACTACTAGCTGCGCACTCTGGTAGCTACTTAACTAATTAATCAGAGCCATTATTTGTTTAGTGAGGTGAAATGACCTGCTTTTGTCTTCATTAATCAATGCCTGTTTGAAGTGTGTCTGGGAACTGCAGCCTCTAGTCAGACAGGATAAAAAGGGGACAGCAGCTACTAGTCCAATCTGATTAACACGGCCTGCCACAATAGTCTGTAATATTAAACAATGCTAGGAGAGAAATTAGACTTCTGGTGCTCTTCTATGTGTGTTCATACACTCCTATTCTCAATTTGTCATTGTAAGGAAGCTTTGTGAGGATGTGTGAACAATGAGCATTGATTTCCACTGATATTCAAAACAATTTAAGAATCAAATCACTATAAACAATGTCAGAAGCATGTGTGCTGTTTCAAAGTTTCAGATTAACCTTTTACCTTATGGTTAGGATGAGGCGGTAGTGGAAACTAGGGGCACTGGCTGCTCATTAGCCTTAGCCCTCCTATTTACAGTGAAACCAAAAGCTTGAAACAGCAACTCGGACCTAAAATGACTAAATCAATCACAAAATCCCAATCCTCAGCGCACATAAACAAGCACTAAAACTTACAAACACACCAACTAGCATTAAAACACAAACAGTGAGACCATCTGTACAATATATACTGTGAAGAAATAAAAAGAGCAGGACATAAGGCAAAGGAAAGTGGTCTGTGTTTGTGTGTGTATCATAATTCTTATAAGCCTCTTCTATCACTCCCAGGGGGATAACTCTCTTAAAAAAGGAAGTGACTCTACCATATTCATATCTCCCACATCCACCAGGGAGGCACTATCCATTCTGGCTGCTAACTTATTTAAGAGCTTGTTAGCCCCCTGGCGTTTACAGCTCCAGAGGAAGAGAAAGAGAGAGAGAAGTCAAGATACAAGGGAAGCACTTGTACCACTTTTTCACTGTCAATGTGATCCCCATTTCCAGTCGAAGAGCAAGTGCCAAACCAATTTCTTACTCATATTGATCAATATAAACAAAACAAACATGCTAGAGTTATTAAATAATATTTCTCTCATTAGAGAAGGGAATGTTGGCCCATTTCTCCTGCAAATGACCTAATTCCCTGTATTATTATTCATCATACTTTATCTCTACAGCTTCACACTGAAACCTGGCTTTGGGGATATGGAGCCATGTTGGGAGGAGACCTGGAGCTTCGAGAGCAGAGGGGAAAGTAAAAACACGAGTTACAACTGACATTCATCACTTGAGTTTATCCCTCCCACCCACCTGCAGTACGGACAGTCCAACTATGTGTCAGTTTCTCATTTTTCATTTCCCTCCCATCTATGGCTCAAAACTATGATCTAAACATAGTTTTTAAACCTTATTCCCAAGAATTGGATATATACAACCACACTGCTGCACCTTAAAGGTTTTTTGTACCAAACATCTCCTGTGATTATACTGGTCTAAAGCAACAAGTATTTGACCTTAAAATAACAGCTTCAAAATCATTTTGATGCTACACTGACTTGTAATAAATGAGAATGGTTACCTCTTTCTTTATCACTCTGCGCCTTGTTGCTGCACTATTAACATTGGATACGATCTCCTGCAAGAAGTGCGTGGCGTTTTGTGGCACTACATCATACCCGACCAACTGTGTCACATATTGTGGGGAAACTGGATCATATTTTATGGAGAAAATGTTTCCTGGTTTTCCTCCGGCTGCTCTGCCTCAACTCTCTTTGATATACGAAGATTCCTGATGGACAGATAGCTTTACCTGTTGCTAAAGTAACTGCTAACTGCTGCAAACTGTTAGCTCAGTTAGCCGTGCAGCTAACAGTCCTAACTCTGCCCAGACTGGGAGCTCGGAGCAGGACAGGAGCTTTGGACCTCTAGGAGGAAAATTTGAACAATCCACCTAAAATGTGCACAAAATCCACCTTTGTGGATCGACATACATAGCCTGCTTGTGAAAATGACTGCCCTCCTATCTTTGTGTTCAGCTGCCAGTCTGTCTTCCTTCCTGCCAGCGTGCATCTGCCGCCTCTGACTACCAACTCCTCATCTTTTTTCCTGTTTACTACTTCCTCATCTTTGTCTCCCAGGGTTTTTAGTCAGCCCCACTTCTGACAGGGAAAGACATTTAAAGAAGGAGTTATCTCTGATGAGCGAGCAGCACAGAAACCCAGATGAGAAAGATACAGACACACAGGTCTCTGTATCTGTCTCTATCTTTTAGTAACTGCCTAGCTGTGCTCTTCGCTTTGTCTTCAGATGGAGCATGTGGCCGTGAAGACCAGAAATTCTCAAACATTATTGTACCTATTCCCTCCCTCCCTCCCCTCTGTGTGAATGCCAACTCTTGTAAGCATATATACTGTAGATATGCATAATAAAGTAAACATTTAGCTTGGCTGCATTCTCACATACAGATGCAATTTGTCCGACTTGAATTGTGTGTGCTAACGTGTGTTTGCGTATATTATATGTTTGTGTGTTTATCTGTGTGGGTGGGGGGTGGAGAGATAGATGTGTCAGCACATGTATCAACCCCAAGCTTATTCTAAGAAACAGGATAACAAATGTGATTCTCTTTCATATAAACAGATATTTAGTAGCAAAACAAACCATAAACTGGATAGAGGACGTTTGGTGATGGTCTTGACTGTTTGTGTTCATTATACTAATGTCTCAAAATGAATGTGGTCAAATTTAGACAGCAAATATCAGCCAAACATACACACTCGCATTCCAGAGAATTTCATTTTCACTCACCCACACAGTTGTCACAGAGGCTGCAGTGGGAGGCACGTGGCGGTCTGAAGATCTTGCAGGTGAAGCAATATTTCAGCTTGACTGTCTGTCCGTTGATGACCACCTCCTTGGTCCTGGGAGGAGGCTTGTAGCCAGTACTGCCATTAGCCACATCTTGGGAAAATCAAAGAGAGAATAATAAAAGGAGATACATAAGAATCACAGAGAATATTACTGCACAATGTTTTCACTCAGGCACGAATGGACACCCACATGCAGTACCGTATGTGGGTATGTTATGAATTTTCCAGTGGCACAAAAATATTACATGTTTATTAGGGAAAACTCTGGAAAGAACATACAGAGATACAGACAAAAAAAACAGAAAGTAAGTTAGGATAAACGTAACATTACGCTTGAAAAACCCACTGTTATAACTTCAATACTGCATTATAGACTATGATCTCTTTACAGTCTCCCAAACAGCCTCTAAAACCTTATTACATGAGGCACTACTCAGTTTCTATAACTATAACATAACTTTACATACTGCATGGATAATGCAGCCCAAACAACAGAGAGAATAACACTATATGAAGGCTACAGGTTACTAATGGAAAGTCATTTTACATTTGTAATGCAGTCTTGCTAGATAATAACAATAAATGTCCTGCTGCCTTGAAAACCTAAAAATATAACAGTCTATAGAGAATTGTATGCTTGAATGATTATTTATTTAGCACGTTAAATGGAATTTGTAAAATTAGGTACTTGAGGTACTATAAAAGGTATAGGTAACACATTTCTTTATTTGTAAGATAAACCAGTAGTTTCCACTAGATTTTATTGTTTAAGAGAGATGTTCAGGTTGTCTGGTTTAATTTGTGTTGAGATGAGTGAATCTTAAGGCTCCAGTAAAGTGAAACCTTTACTGATCTGCAATTATCCTTACCTTTGATAAAAAGGTACATGTCATGATATCAGTTGCTTGAAAGGGTTGAACATGGACAACCCACACAGCTCATTATATTTAATTAGCCCGACCATTTTAGCTCTTTTCATGAGCTACACAGATTCTGCTGAGGTGTGTGAACCACAACCAACCTTTGTTCGTTACAGTGACTCAAATTGTAACATAGTTCAGGGAATATAACCAAGTCTGGAATTCAACATGCACTTAACACCATGATTCTCACACTATAATACAAAGAAGAAAATGGTGGCACACTGCTTTGAATGGTCTCTGGTGGAGGAAGACAGCAGTGATGACAGGCTAAACGCTAAGGATGGGAGCAATGATAGTGATTTTCAAGCCATAAAAAGGTAGAACCTATATTCCATTATTGCTAAGCTCTATTTGAGCACTCTCACAAAACCCTGAGAGGAGATTGTGTGTAGGAAGATCATTTTGAGATGATTTACACAAAATCCTGTAGCATTGCTAACAGAGTGGCTTGTGTGTGTTAGTGGGG